CTCCGAATTCAATACGGATACGATAAGAGGCAGAGGGACGACGCTTTACCAGCAAATGCACCACCACATGCACCTGCACCTGCTCCGCCAGCACCCCCTGAAGAGGACGGAGAGGAAGAGAAGCCACAACCGCGGAAAAAAAAAAAAAAAAAAAAAAAAAAAAAAAAAAAAAAAAAAAAAAAAAAAAAAAAAAAAGTGCCCGAGAAGCCCATCGCCGCAACAAGATCCGCCCGACCAGGCCCCCGCCCCCGATCTTGCTGCCTCTCCCCCGAGCCTCCAAGCCGAAACAGAAGCACGGGCACCTCAGGTCAGACCATAAAATTTCTCGTCGCCCTCTGTGCCGCTGTGTTCTCGCACGTACGATGGGCAGCCAGTCTTCGCGCAGCTGGCCGGGGCCATCCTGGGAAAGCACCCGAAGCACCCCAGCCAGCAGAACACAGGGAGGGCGGGCGGGAAAACGAAAACCACGCCCCGCGGCAAGCCCCAACCGCCACGGCACCTTGGCAGGGGCGCCCCGTTGCACCGCCAGGCGTCTGCCTGGGCGAAGCGCTGACTTGCCCAGCCAGGCGCAGCGCTCGCCACAGACGGCACCCCCACATGCCCTTCCGGGCCCACCGACAAAACAGACAACAAACAGACGACGCCGACAAACAGACCAACGACACAAGAGACACCCGCCACCCCAACGGGCGAAGCGCGTGGAACGAACTCACTCACCCCTCCCGGGGATCCGCTGCCCCCACCAGGCAGCGCCCGCTCCAGCGAGCCAAAGGCATGGAGGCAAGGGGGCCAAGAGGCCAGGATGCAAGGAGCCCTAGCGCTCCTCAAACTTTCACTGCCCCCCAAATCGCTTCGCGATTTAGGGGCGACTAGAATTTCTCGTCGCCCCCTGTGCCGTTGTGTTCTCGCACGTGCGATGGGCAGCCAATCTTCGCGCAGCTGGCTGGGGTCATCCTGGGAAAGCCCCCGAAGCACCCCAACGCACCCAGGTGGCCCGGACGGCTGCGCGAAGCGAAATGCAACTGATTACCGAGCTCACCCCATGCAAGCAGGAGCATTTTTACTCCGCAGCCTCCGATGATTCTGAATGCTCAATGAGGAACTCCGCCGCAGCGATACCGCCACGAGCCCTGGCAGAGGCGCTAGCGAAAGCGGAAAGGCCACGCCATCCGCCTGAGTAAAACAACGCCGCAGGGCCATTGGCCTGCAAGCACTCTGTAGCCCAGCCGCGCCTGAAGGCATGCGTTCCCCACGCAGACGCGTTGGGTAGGCCGCGCGCCTGGGCCGCAAGTTTCAACGTCGCTAAACTTTCAGAGTAGCTGATTCCTGGGAACAAAAGACCGTCGTCGCCGGCTTCCCTGGAGCACAGGACGCAGACTCCGCACAAGGCCTTACCTTGCAAGCTACAAGTGCATTTTCTGATTACCTGCACAGGCTCAGAATAGCACGTTCTGCTCATGTACGTTATGGTCACTTCTTTCCGCGTTGTACCCGGCGCACCGATGGCAGCTGGCGCCGCCGCGGAGCCAATTTGCAATACTTCATTATAACGCAAGCAAAAATGCCTTGCAACCGCCCAGGACGCGCCCACGTCGACGAAGCCGAACGTTGAGCACCATCTCGCCAACGCCTTGGTTTCCGCAGCTGTCGCTCGCACCCGGGGCCTCCTTAGCGATCTACCGGCCTTCTCTGCTCCCCGGATCACCCGCGCCGTATCCGCCGGGGGCCCAAGGGGAGCCCGTAGCCACAAAAGCACCGCACGGAGATGAGACAGATAGCGTGCCAGAGTGGCCGCACTCCTGAAAAGGCCAACGTATACATCGATGATGGCGTGAGTGGGCGGCCACGCAGCCACCGCACACAGGACGGCGACTCTTCCATGCAGCCGCGCAGCCGAAGAGCATCCGCGGGCGCTCGCCTTCCAGCCACAGAACTCCAGCCATGCTGCTTGCTCCGCCATGGTAGACACATGCACGCTCGCAGCATCCCGGCGCAAGGCCTCCTGCCTAGGAGGTAAGGGGGCGTCGCGAACGTCGTCGCATCCGCTTTTGCCAGCGCCAAAACAGAATCTGCGAGAACGTCCGGGTCTGGGACCTGCTCCGCAGCCCGCGCGGCAGCACAAAGCTTCAAGGCAGCCCTGGCTGCTACCGCGCCGGAGTGTCCACGAACAGGTGGACGCGCAAACGCCGGGGCCGAACATGAAGACGAACTGACAACTAGTCCTCGTGGAATCTCCTGTTTGCTCTCGCCGGCGCCCGCTTCACCTGAGCGCACTGGGGTCTCAGCGGAATGTTACTTGCAAAGCGCCAGAAAAAGCTCCACGAATTGAATGGGCTGAGGCGCTAGCGCTTCCCAGAGGTCCTGCGCTTCCTGCGCCGAGGTGCCAGCGAAATCAGAAGGAAAACAGCCACCGTCTATCTTTAGCTGTTCTGCAATCTCCGAAAACGCAAGCTCCAATTGCGAGATGCCCCCTGCGCGCTGTAGAAGCGCTCTCACTTCTGACGTTCCCCCAACATTTGCCTGTCCAGGCTCCGCAACTGACGCGTCAGCGTTGCCCGCCGCGCCAAACTCCCGACGAGGGCGCACATCTCGCGAGTCAGTGCTGTCATCTGCTGCCCGCGCCCGGCTCTGCTCAATGAATTTCAGCATTTGAGCAAGGGTGGCTACGGAACACCTGGAACGCGCAAATGAGATCCAACGCAGCTGCCTCGGGAAGTCTCGGGCACATTGCATCTCCCGAGGGCCGCGATGGCAGCTCTCCTGTGGCCTTCGCGCTTCTTGTGTCCGCTCAAGGGCCCCGGGGAGCCGAGAATCCGGTGGCCCCGGGCGCGGTTTCCCAGGGCTCTGTGTTTCTGGGCAAATTCGCCCCGGTCCTGGTGAATTGGTGGGCCCAGTGGGGGTCGGCCTAGAACCGCTTCACATTTCCTCCCGCTATTTTCCTCCAGCGCTCACTCTCCAGACCAAGCACTCCTCCAGCGCTCACTCTCCAGCGGAAGCGGGACATCCGACACGTCACATCACCATGCCTCGGAGCCGAAAAATATATGATCCAGGATTCGCCGCGTGACAACACCCGCAGGGCGAACAAAAATATTATTCCACTCCACTCGCCACTTGGCAACTCCTGTGGGGGGGGGGGGGGGGGGGCGCGAAGGACGCGCATTCCACTCTGCGCGTCGCATCTCGTCGCGTAGCAACGGCGCGGGGGGCCGAACAAAATGCAATTCCACTCCACTCCACTTGACGCCTCACGCGGCAACGACGAAGGGTGGGAACTTTTTCCGTCGGCGGTCGGCTGCGCCAGCGAAGGAGCTAGACGGGGGCAACGAAAAGCGAATTGGCCAGCGTGAAAGAGTGGGAAAACAGGGAGGCGGGCGGTCGCGGGGGGGGGAGAAGAGACCACCCAGGGCAGACGAGTCTGCACCTGAGAATGCTGGCGCGGCCAGCCCCGCCTGCGGGGACCACGGCAGCTGCCGAAGAGTGGCGACATGCAATTCTGCTTCATTCGCCTCGCGGCAGCGCCGCAGACGACGAGGGCGACGGACGGCGACGACGACGACGACGTCGACGACGAAGACGACGACGAAACGACAACGACGACGACGACGAAGACGACGACGATAACGACGAGGACAGCGACAGCGACGACGACGAAAACGACGACGACGGAATGAAATGGGATAGGATGCGATGAGATGCGATGGGATGGAATGCAATGGATTGGAATGAAATGGGTGGAGCGGAGCGGAACGGAACCACCGCCGCTTGTCCGTGTTTCTGTTCTCGTTCCGTTCAGTTCTATTTCGATTCCTTCCATTCCATTCCAGTTCATCCCATCCTATCGCATTCCATTCCATATCCCATCCAATTCCATTGCGTCGCCGTCGTCGTCGTCGTCGTCAAGTTGCAAAGTTCTCCCGAGGTTGACTGGGCCGTTAATTGGTTCGTTGGTTGGTTGCTTGGTTGGATGGTTGGTTGGTTGGTTGGTCGTTTGGTTGGTTATTTGGTTGGGTGGT